ATTCTCAACCAGCTACATGAATTAATCTTTAATTTATATGCTAGACTTTATATGCTCTCTTTTTCCTTACTCTCTCTTTCTCTCTCTCTCTCTCTCTCTCTCTCTCTCTCAAATATATTTAATTTAAAAGTAACTTCATGTTGCTGAAATCGAGCACGAATTTCATATAAAATAAAAGAACGAACGGAGCAAGCGGCAAACGTTTAGCGCTAAATGCGCGCGGCGAGAATACCGGTCTGTACATTTTTCCCTCTTCCCCGCTCCGGCCGAGAGATCGGAGCCCTCATACAATCGGCGTTTTTACGAGCGAGGCGATCCACAATGTAACCGGTTGTTGCGACGATAAAACGCAGTCGAACGACGGGATCGCAACATTTTACTGCCGCCGACGGCAGCCCAATTACGATCAATTTAACTGCGCGGAGAGTTTCTTTCTGGCTGATCTACGCCGCGCCGCGCGCGTAAGCTAACTCGCGATACTTTAAAAACGTCGGCGAAACGGATCGGTACAGCCGGTCGATTCACTTTGCCCGAGTGCCGGATATCTCGTCGTCGGATATCGATACGGAGACTTCCGTCTTCGAGTTTAATAGCGAACGTGCTCGCCTATTGCCGGAAATGTTACAGGCTCGCTTAAATCAGATCCGTAAAATAAATTCACAAATTTCGCTCTGCATATAAATAAATTACGGGTAGTAAGAAAAATAAGGGGAAATTATTGCGTCTCACTTGCTAACGGATAAATAATCGATATAGTTAAGCCAGAGCTTCTCAGCAAGGCTGCGCCACACAGAGCTGCATCTTATAGCCTGCGCGCCCTGAAACGTCGAATCGCGTGTTCGCGAGCACACGGCGCGGCGAGCTCGCAATTTCGAGTCGTTTAGATTTCCAGAAGTACCGCAATTCCGCGGCCGACCTGCCGGTCGACGTCGCCGCCTTTTTTATCGCGTCTCGACAGAACAAGCTCTTGTGAACATAATCGGCCGTTTGTGCCGCACCGTTCGTGACGAGGGGGTAGGATTTTTACCCAGAGACTGGTTCGCGTCGCGATACAAAACGCGATTAAATGTTTCGCCCCCTCCTACCCTTCGCGAATATATATAGGCTCAAGCGCTCCTCGAATTAAATTTAAACGTTACGTTGGTAAATTATGATAGATTATTTCGTTAAAGCCCACTTTCTGCTGGATCATCGTAAAACTATCAAAAAGCAAAATGTAGGTGGACGAAGGGATAGATAAGCGTAATAAGCGGCAAGTAGACGCCTATATCTCACGGAACACATCTCGCACATTTTGCCGTTCGGCGAAAATTCTTTAAATTACGCTACGAAACACATTTGATTAAAGATTTCACTTTTCCCCTCACTTTGGACAAATTCATTCCGGGATGACAACTCGGGGGCAGGCTCTTCCGAATTCGCAGGGATCACGATGCGATTTAGGCGGGCACGCGTGTACATCGGCGCGCGCGTGCTCGTTTCTCTCTTTCTCTTTGTACCCCAAATTAACGTGCACACTCTTTTCTCTCGCGCTCGGTCGCGTCATTCGAGACGGCGCGCGTTCGCCGTCACGCGGAACGTGCCGAAGAGACGCGCGAACGAAACGGTTCGGAACTGGTTCAACGAAGTCGGCCGTTCCCGGCGGTGCGCGCGCGACGAACAATATGAACTTCTGAAGGGGGGTAGAGGACGAGCGAGAGCGAGGGAGGAAGAGGAGGAGGAGGAGGTGGGAAGAGGCAGAAGAGCAGGAGGAGGCTGAAGAGGAGAGGAAAGAGACGGCGGAGGTAGAGTCGTGCGGAGCACGTGAAAGGAGATTTAAAGGGAAAAAGGAGGAGGTGGCCGATGGAAAAGGAACGCGCGGAGAGAACGAGGTAGTGAGAGGGAGGGAGGAGCAGAGAGAGAGAGAGGGAGGGAGAGAGCGAGAGAGAGAAATACAAATGGTGGGGAGGAAGGAGCATGGCGAACCGGTCGCAGCCTCCGCTCGTCAGCTGGAAGCTCAGCTGCAACCGGGCGCGGTGACCTCGACGTTGCAACGCGCGGTGGCGGTGCTTCACGGAAAAGCGAGTTGATTCGCGAGCGATAACGGTGCCGCGACAGCGTCGTCCCTCGTTGCCCTTTCCGCGCGCGAATCCCTACGCCCTTCAGGAAGCTGCCACGAGAGAGGGAGAGAGAGAGGGGTTCGCGGCGATGATGCGCTTTCAGATCAGATGCGATTCATGCGATATAGCTTAGCTTAGACTACATGACTGTAGATATTGCGTAAGATCTGAAATGAAAGATGAGCTCTACGTATAAATTCGCACGGCATCAGGAATTATGAAACGTGTTTTTATGAAGCTAAAAAAAAATATATAACATCGTAAACAACAACAAAATTCTGGTTCGTTTACGTCAATTGTGGTCGTCACTTTCCGAAAAAATTCCACTAAAATCAGTTTCTCATATTCAATATATTTTTATAATATCCTTATATTAGCTGAATTAAAATTCTATTAAATTGTATAAGTATTTGAAATTGAGTAAAGAATACAACTTTACGGCGCGACTGTTTCTATCATGCTTACAAGTTCGCACGAAACAATTTGAATGGTTTATGCAACAGCGACGCAGGACGTCTTGCATAATTAAATCTTATAATAAGGATCCACAGAATTAAATTCGCGCAATGTATGGCGTCGTTCTCGACAATGCCTCTCAAGAGTGGCATAAAGACGAGCTACTTCAGAATGAACGACATTACACGAGATTACTTTGGTCCTCGGCGAATTATTTTCTCTTATTCTCAAGCGGGAGATTCATAATGAGATTTCATGATTAGAGCGTGCGAGACGATGAGGTAGCGCGAGCGATGAATACATTTTTTTTTATCATCACGTCAACATACGGCTTTAAGTATTCTGGCTCTCTTCGCGATTAAATCCGCCTTGCCTCTGTTCGACGGTCGAAATTACGCGAATGATGAACGAGTGCTCCCACCTGTGCAATTATGCGCACCGTGTAATACCGATTCATGTAGTTTAAGCACGCTACTTAATGAAGTGCCTTTTCGTCGTTAGGTATGGAAGAAATTTGATCCTCCAAACGTGCACCGAATAAACGTGCACTTTTGATATTGTTGATAATCATTTTGCAAGACCGAATTTTGAATAAGTTAACTCGAATACATTAATAATTCATGTATAGAGAGAATAACAATCGATTTTCAAATCACCGTAGCGATAATTAGTTTGTATCAATATATTATTAATCGTTATAAAATTCTAATGTATAAAATACACGTTCACTCTCTCTCACTCTTCTCTTTCTCTCGTTTCGTTCATTTCATTTGTTCATGAGAATCGCTGCAACCTTGAAAACATACGTCTGAATAAAGATTTCACCACAAAAGATACGCGAAAGCGACGATTTCTTTTTCCGAAATGATCAGAGAGATGCCAATTCTTCCGCGATTGTTCGTTTTGAAAGATAGCAATCGGTCACCGTAGTACATACTGACGTCGGTGGTACACGTCGTCGAGGTCAACGCTGGGAATCGACGCGTCGCGAGAATCTCGCGAGGTGAAATCGTCGATGCACGAAGTGTCACGTACCCGTATAAGAGGGCAAAGAGAGTCATTCCCGCTCTTGATAGGAGCGCGCAAAAGATGCACAGTCGAGATGACAAATCCTGACAATGAGTCACTTCCAAACTTTTAGCTATCTGAGGAAGACGCGGTGTTAATGCCAGTGTTAACAGGAACAAAATATTTAATATAAGTATTTATAAAAGCAATCTAATTGTAAGTTAATTGGAATTAAGAGTTATTCCTTCAACACCCTCTTCTGCGTCGATGTCATTCGCGCGGATATATCAATCGGAAAAAATTCATTCGCGTACATTTTAACCGATTTAAAAGAGTCAATAGTATATGTTTAAAAAAACAAGCTTTTTTTGACGGTCTGACTGATTGGAAATTAAAAGCCTCTGTCTCAGAGTTAAAGAACCTCGTGGTAATCACAATGGGTAATTACAGTGGAATTGAAATTGCAAGTATTCGTAACGACGACAGTCATCCTACGGGATAATTATAACTGTCGCTGGGCGTGTTTCGCGGTTGAAAAATATTTTAAATCATCGAAGATGATGCGAAACGCAGACGCGTGCGGAATTTCGATGACGACAATTTTGAGAACAAAGGAACGACGGAGCTTCTTCGTGAGTGAATCAAAAATCACCTGACGTTGCTCTCGCGAAAGTTTCCGTCGCACAACTGCACTTCGAAAGGCGAGAACGAACGGCCGATGTTGTCACGTCGAATTCCGACATTAAATCGACGCGAGTCGATTACATCCACACGGGATGCGAGAGCGTTCGATCCCGCCGACCTCGGGTTAGCGCTAACCCTGGTTTAACCGAACCCCCTTGCAGCCCGCCTCCTCTTCCCGCTCCCTCCCCCGCCTGGGATCCTGGCCGTGCCTTCGATACGAGGCGAGGGTCGCGTCTCCGCCGTTTGATCAACGCTCGCAATCGCGAAGCCGTAATTTTCCTCCATCATCGCGTATAGCGTAAATTACAACGCGCGGGGCCACGTAATCCGCGAATCGCGACGGCGAATCCCGGGATTATAGCCGTTTCCAGGATTAACCGCGGCGCTTGTCATCGTCATCGCGACGACGACGACGACGTGGGGCACGGCGAGGAGGAAGGTACCGCGTGATGACGAGCGGCGTATGTATCACGTATACGCGGAATCGACCTCCGGTAGCAGGCGAACCGGTCGGTCGGTGCATCAGCTGAGAGCCCAGCTGAACCCAGAGAGAGAGAGCGACCGCTGTAATAACCTCACGCTGTCTCCCTCTTTCTCACACTTACAACGCGCGCGCACACACTCGCACGTACACACGTACGCGGCCGTTCACGGTACACACACATACACATACACGCGCGCGCGCGCGCGCAACACACTCGCGGGCGAATTTCGTAAAAAAAAAGCGCCGTCGGCAGGATTGGACATGGGTACCTGGTCTGCCCGGACGGCGTCTCGGTGGCTCGGCGACGGGTGTCCCGCGTAGATCCTCGCCGGTGAATTCCGCGGAACTTTTCGAAAGCCCACTCTCACAATGGAATCTTCCAGTAGACTGGCCGAGCCGGCGGCGGCGAGCGCGGAGCGGAGCCGTTCTCCCTTGCGTGCGCACCCACCGTGCGCGGCGGCCGTTCGGCTTTTTCGACGGGGGAAAAAAGGACGGGATTTCGTAACGCGTACGACCGGCGACACCGACGGGAGCGCGTCCGCGTAGCCGGCACGAGCACGCTGCGCGTCACCGGCACGGCACGTATACTCGCAGCACGGGAAACGCGGACTCGCGGGTGTACGTGAACGCGCGCGCGGGCACCGCTGATGACAGTTCGGGGCTCTCTCGCGGTCGCGGCTCGCGGCGAGCTGTCAACTCCGCAGGGGCCGCGGCGAGCAACTCGTCGGCGGGGGGCCCGTACGTTCGTGTCGCTACCGCCATCCACCGGCGCCGAGCCTAACCTCGTCGAAACGGCGCCAGCGCATGCGCCGAACGCCTGGCAACACACGCCGAGGAGGACGAAATTACGGAAAATTGCGATAAAGACTTCGTAGACGCGGAACGATGTACTAATTGCCAATACTGATGTCGTAGAATATAGTCGAATATACTATATATTCGGTGATTTTCTATTGAGCGCGCGGATGACTACGTGGACTCGAATTCTCGACGTCGCGTGTATATACACACATACGCCAAGCGAAAAGTATACGCTTTCGAGCGATAAAGAACGTAAGGGTCATATTCGCGCGTCTTTCGCCTGATTGCATCAACGTTTTATTATTTTGATTTTAAGCAAGGCCTAAAACTCCAGTCTGTCTCTCTTAAAACCTTAAGACAGAGAGAGAAAAAGTTTTAGGCCTCGTTCAAAGTCGATTAACGTTGGCGCAATTGAGGCCTTTGGTGTCGGAATCTGTATATATACTCACTATAAATAAACGTACCCGCTTATCGATGCAGCGTCGATCGAGACGACCGCGGTGTCGAACGCGAAGATCCGTGACAACCGATACGTTCCGACGATCGCCCGCCACTTTAATCGGCCCTCCCGAGGAAAATACGCGTCTCCGTACATCCCCAGCGGGCGAAATTCGCGAATAATTGCGGAGCGCTCGCGCTCCGTGTACCTCCGAAACGACGCGCCGCGGCAAGTGTCATGGCGGCCGACGCGACCGGGTGAGGCGCGCGCATCAAGTCGATTTGAATCGAGACGATTTGAAATTGCAAGCGACTTGAATTTAGGCTTTCTACGTGATTTTCAACGATTTACAAAAAACGATTTTCAAAAAACCGTCTCGGCACGTTTACTTCATCCTTCTTTACTTGAAAAAAACATTGGACAGCAAGTAAAAAACCGTATAAATCAATTGTCTCAATTTTCGGGAAAGATTTGACACGCGACTAAATTTTTACACAATAATTAATTAAGTGTATTGATTGACTCCTCTTTAAAGATTATTATATCGAGCAATAAAAACGAGACTCTCTATTAAAATCGTTGGTCGCATTTTTTTTTATTATAACAATTTGGTTTTTTTCGTACAAAAAGAAGGAACGTTTCCAAAACGTTTACAATATTTAACAACTTTTCATCTCTTTCGGACGCACACGTTCCCATTGCAGTTCCATTTAATAAATATAATATCATTTCTCGTTTTATATTCTCGCGATTTCATTTTCTCACTTGATAGGCGTATATATTCTTTAAAATAACGCATCAGGCAGACGGTACTTTTAACTTTTTGATATTTTCATTTTATATCGCGAAATTGATATAAACGCATTCTAATATTTACTAAAAATTTCACAATGCCTGATAATAATAATCAAAGCTCGTGCTATCCATTAGAATTTAATGTAAGTATATTGCGAGTAATATATTCGTGGAATTTAGAATTGATTTAAATTAAATCAAAACCTGCTGGTGGAACATTTCGATGACTATTCACAATTTGCCATAACGTGGCGCCATGATGACGATGACGGCAGGTCGACATCTCTAACTTATTCGCGGTTATTGTAACCGCTTCTGGAGTCTTTGTGCGATAGCTGAGACGAGCGCGGCGCCTTTACCACTTCCATCTTCTGCGTGGATTAATTTGAACTGTAATCAGAGAATAAGTATATTATATAAAATATATTATACGAAAGAAACTTTTATAGATGACGGACACTATTAAGTCGAGTATTAATGCAAGAAGCTCAAAATACGTAATAAAAAAATTATTCTTCATTTCTATAAAAAGAGAATAAAAAATCGTCGAATTGTTAGAAATTGTTAGGGCATTTAGAATTTTTATTTCTAAAGACAGAACGCCATACATTGTACTTCGCGGTATATAAATAATGCTCTCTTTAGATTTAAATAATGCTCATTTTCTTCTTTCTTTATTTAAACACACTGAGAGAAAAGTGTTTGGTATTTGCAACTATAATTGCATGATAAAATAATGGTTAAGAAAAATGATTAAGAGTTCCATTTTTATAGTTATTATTCCTCTAAGTTTAGTAATAATAATTATATTTGTTCTACCAGACAAGTATGGTTGGCGCTGAAAAACTACTTTATGTAATTGCAACAATTTTTTTCTCTCAGTGCAGTATCTTTTTTCTAAGCAGAGAAGCGACTTTAAAATTTACGATTGATATAAATTTTAATATTTATAGATACCTTTCGTCCTGGACTGAGAAGCGACATATATTGCTTCATCCAACCTTCTAATCGAGGATGATGCTTATAGAGAGATCCGTCGACGGCGATTGTTACTTGTTCTTTATCGATGCGATCCAGTAAACTTGCGAGACCTTGGACAGAAAATCATCGATGAAATTACATTAAATCTTCACGCAGTTTAAAAGTCAGCTTTATTGACGTACATATCGATACTAGAAGAGCTGCGCGATTGGAGGCGACCTCGCACACATATTGAACGATTCTGATGTCATCCTCGTCCGGAATGATGCCGAATTTCCCAAGGATCTCCTTCGTATTGCTGTCGCCGCCGTCCACCGAATCTCTGAAATCACGAAATTAAATTTAAACACCTGCGAAATCTCTAATTAACAGATTAAGCGGTCCATTAGAGTGAACTTACTGCTCGACGTGCGACACCAGATCGGTGGTAAGATTACCGGGTGTTAGGAGGCTGTCTGATGTAGAGTCTCCTACAAACAAAAGCTTCTCTTTGGTCAACTTCGCAAGTATCACGCGCACCACCTCACCGAGATATTTGCCAGCAATGTACTTTTCAAATCTAAGAAGAAAAAAAAAGTTATGACATTTTTATACAAATTATCGCGTCCTAGAAAGTAATTTCAGGATTTTTGTATAGAGCTGTTCGCGTACCTTTACAAATTTCTGAGTTATATCATTTAATTCAGTAAGTAAAAAATGTTCACTTGATCCGTTATATCATTTCTTATTTAATGGAAACGTTAATTATATCAATTATTAATTGACCATACTTGATATCCAAAATCTTAATTTTTTCATACAGTTAGAGGCAAATTGATAAAAATGCATTACTATCGGAAATAATCTCCACTTCTCGCAAACAGAATAATTACAACCTAATTAAAGATAATGCAAGTTTGTTCGCTTACGTAAATGAATTCACGATAAGAGAATTTGCGTCGTTCTCGCGATCGAAATCCGTCTTGATGAAATCCAAGACGCCGTTATCGCCAAAAGCGCCCCACTCGATATCAATGATAACCTGATGAGCAACGAAAATTAGATCAATAACTTGGTGAATGCTTTCACGCCAAGTGAGCACAGAGAAGGAGAAGAAGAGAGAATTAAAGAATTATAATATAATATTTAAAAGATCATTTTGAATTCTAAAATCAAATTTTGTGACATATTGCCTTTCTAAAATATCTTTATTTAAAGTATGTTTATCGAACGGAAAGCGAAAATTCGTTTGAAAAAATTGTAGCATCTATTTTTTTTATTATATACGTTATCATATACAAAAGACTCACTTCTTTCTCGCCGTGTCTCTCCGTCTCCCAATGCTCGACCCGATCCGCGCGTTCCAGATAACAGGCGTTACTGCCAGTTCCCAGAATAAGTCCAATCGCCGTGTTATGATCTAAAGTCGATCCCTGTACCAAGGTGCCCGTGGTGTCGTTCAAAACGGCTAGGACCTTCACCTTTGTGTCACCTCGCCGATCTAAGGCCTCTCGTAGGAGCCTCACGGCGTCCTTGTTTACGGCATCGGGGCAGTTGAAAGTCTTAGTCCATGTCACCAGAACGCCAACGTCCAGTGAGTGTTGAATCATCGGGAACGAGAAGGTAAAGCCTGCGTAAACACCGGATCGCGTTAAGGTTGTGGAAGCGGAGGAACGTGTGGAAATTATCGGACAAACGTAGATAATTATGCTAATAGAGCTGATTGTATTAATATATCTTTCTGCCAATTTCCTACAGGTAAACAAAAGTGTTTTCTGCGATATACGCCTCTCGTCGCCAGAGCTCGTTATTTGTAGACGATATCGTGTGGCAATTCGCGTTAATTAAAGATTTCGCGCGTTCGATATCCCGACGCGGACGTGTGTGCGCCGCGGATGCGGAACTCAATTTACCGAGAGGAAGCTCCACGTTCTGAAGACCCTGAGAAATGACGAAATCACTGACGCACTCAGCCAAATAGTCGAACAGAGGGATTGCCGAGCCGACCCTTAATTCAGATCCGATGTAATATCGCTTCACCTCTTGCCGCACGGGAGCACCATGGGCCAATTCCAACAGGAGTACGCGAAAGTTAGTGCCGCCGAGGTCGAGTGCCAAGTAAAGACCTTCTTCTACAAGTATTCAGGTACACATTTTGATTATCAGTATTAAATCAATAAAATATCGGTATATCTTTTTTTTTTTAAGTAGCTTTCAATCCTTAACGTGAAACGATACAATCTTTTCATTATCCGAAATAACTTTCAGATGTAAAATTGTAGAATATATTTTACAGAATGACTTTGTTTAAATAGACATATTTCGAGCATTTCACCGCCTCTCTTATCTCGCATAAAAAATTATTGAAATTATAAGATGTGAAATACATGACAGTAGACAAATTAAGGATTGATATTCATAATTATTGATATAAAATATTTCGTTTATGCATGTTTTATTGTTGGGCAAGGATATTAAATAATCTGAGATAATTAATCAATTTCTGTCTCTGTTGGTAATATCTTTGTTAAGCAGTAATGAGGCTTGTAATAAGACATAAAGTGCATGTCAAAGTGATACGCGCTATCGTTACGGAATTAAGCGCAGAAACTTTATTAATGACCTGTGCCATCGAGCAGTTCGGGTATATAGGTGTTCTCCATCTGCAATGAGGACTGTTGCTGGTGGATTCCCTTATTCATTTCCGAAATGAAAACATCCTGTATCTTCCTGGCGGTCGCTGCGGAAAATCGCATCTTCGCCAATCGATTCTCAATCTGCGAACAGTGTTTTTTCCCTTTGAAAAATGTGTTACACATGGTGTATGATCTATACGTGTCGGCGTAAGTATATTTACGGTAATATCATCGTCACCGCGAAAGAAAAAATTTTCCGCGATCCATAAATTCCGCCGGTATCTCGGTAAACAGGTATCCCGCGGAGCTACGAGCACACACGGTATTGTTTACATATTGCGTTATGTATTACGCAGTTTCCAACAGAATTCTAAGCAGACTGCAAAGGAGCTCATGCCGCACGTGCAGCATATCAAGTGGCACATTCTGAATTAATTACATCTAACATAATAAGATTTATACGCACACATTCGAATAGGTGTTTATCATTGTTTAAAAATTTCCTCGTGACAAGATTAATTAATAACTGTCTCTAAATTATGTGTCATAACATCTAACAGCTACTTATTAATATGTATAAATGTAAGAAACTAGTTTAATATAAATTTGCATGCATTTTCTTTTTTATGAATTACTTAAAAGGAAAGAACACCGTAGAGTACTACGCATTCTTGCAACATTATGCTATATTTTGTTTACCAAAGCAAATCGATAAATCGGGTAAATGCTAAACTTAATTATATATTCATAAACACTTATAAAAATCATTTATAAATATTGTGTTATAGGATTTTTACGTTTAACATTAAATTATTAAGAAGAATGGCTTTTTAGTTTAAACTTTCATTTTGTAAAATAAATGTAGTAAAGTCTGTGGTACAATTCTTGCTGTTTGACTTTATTTTGGTACTAGAAGGGTAAGTGACTTTTACGCGTAATATAATTATTATGTACTTATTATACACTTAATTGTAAATTTGGAAAAAATATGGTGAATAAAAAATGTATTGCAATCAAAAATCAATTTTTATTCCCTTCAATAGGTTACTAAAGAGAGGACATATTGTTATCTATAAACTGATAAACTTTTCATAAGTCTTGAACTTTTAACAACTATACAGGATTTCTTGATAACCTTATAACTTAGAGAGCAAAATAAAAGTTGTGACGGAAGCCACGATAACCCCGAAACCCAATCTACTTTTATTTGAACTGTCTTTTGAGACGGGGCACGCATGATTTAAATGTAAGTCAAATAAGATTAAATCACATTTTTTTATTGACTAAACATGAAGTTAACGAACATGGACTTCCTATTATACATATTAAATTTTCTCTCACAACAATAAGATTATAGAAATCTCGTTTAAAAAAAAGATAAAGCAAAGATACACAATTGATGATTTTATTGATAATATCTATTAGATAATGTCTATTTGATATTTTTGCTTAAAAGTTGCATAATCTCACAATCTATAAATATCGGAGATTAAAGCATATTAAAATTATTAAATTTTCTTTTTGTCCAAAAAGTTTATTTATGTTTTCAATGTTTCTAAGAAAAAAAGATTTTATTGACACTATGGTTCACGTCTTCAATATTTATGATATCTTATCATAAATATTAAATAATACACGTGATATAACTAGCATAAATTAAAAAGAAGAAAGAGCCTGTAGATTATCGGCTCATGTCACTAAACTCTTAATTAAAATATCGCGAGATTAAGGTCGCAACATTATTTAGATTGCCTTTTATGCATATCCAGAATTAGATGTATGCAACAATCGAACGATCGTGAAAAAATTGCGTATTACTTTTTTTAAGAATATTTCTCTAATTTTTGCCCAATTCATACGATTTCCGCGAAAAAATATGCAATAATATGAAATTATTTATTTCACAGTTTTTTTTTATTATTTGGTAGAAATTGAACACTGTCGTTTATTTCATTTCGTATATATTCTTATCAGGTTTCGATATAATATCAGCCTTCAACCTCATCGTACGATTAGTTTAAGAGAGCAGAAGTTCAAAGTAAACATGGAATTAAGTACTGAAGATAAGATGTAATAATGCTTATGTGACATAAATGTTACGAATGACAAATAAAATATTAGCTATAAAGTTCAAATACACGTTACACTCACTTTTTGTCGTCTAACATCGTCGGAAAGTATCAACGGCGATACTTGAATCGCCTCGTGAAGTGCATGGTCCGCAGGAACGACCATGTCGAAATGTTATTAAATCACTGAAAAAAGAAAAAACATTGATAATCACCGATAAAATATCCGATCCAGTTTGAAGCAAGAGGCGCTGTTTTAATTGCGAACTTACTTTTTTTCATAAAAAGTTATCTTGTAATTATATTAAACAACCGCATTAATTGAAAATTATTTCATCAATTAGAGCAGTCTTTATTATTTTTCTAAATTAATAGAACCCAAATGAAAAATTAATATAAAATACCTACAGGCATGTGTAAAAATCTATGCAACAGAAGTATTAAGAATATAATATAATTTCATTGTCATTGAGTTATAAAATTATGGCATATTGCATAAATTTCTACAGTAATGTATGAGTTCCTATAAATTCGCTCAAAATGCAATATCGTTACGGATATTGCTTAGACATAACATCTGTTATCTCAACTCGTCGCTCTATTATCACGACGATAATTTGCAATAGGCATCCACTGCATCTATCGCAAATGCCATGCTATTTTATATCAGCACTAAAAAACGATCAGTTTTATCAATATATGTAACGCACGCTCGTAAATAAAAAGACAAAATATAAAATGTAGTCTAAATATAGTCTAAATATATAGTCTAAATATATAGTCTAAATATTTTTGAACAAAACTAGCAATCTTTTCTCTTAATATGATTAAATCGTTTGTCTTTTTTTTAATTTTAATTTTTGAACGAGTACCTTCTTTGGAAAGATTTTTTATCTTATTCTTATTATATTTAATTAAATACACTTCTTAATTTCATTTAATTTACTTTTCTTCAACAAATATTCTGCAATAATATTTTTGTATAAATTGAAATGTATATCGTAATAACTTATTCATTTAAGCTGTGTGGTAAAAAATTTATTTTACACATATTATAAGCCTATGTTCAATAATTAATAATGTATTATCATAGAAAATCATAGAATTTCTAAAGCTTTAATATATATTTGATATACTCTCGATTAAAAATGTGTAACTTAATTTGATGAAGATGTATAATATGTGATAAAAAAATTAATTATGTTTATTCCTTTCTTTCATAACTTGACAGAATATGAAAGATGGCTGTGGAGCATGTGATTTCTGATAACATGGCTTATATTTTGCTCATAATTTCTGCGTCATCTAAGATAGAGTCTCCGACTGTAACATATCATTGCACGTCACTATAAATCAATTAACGTTCTCGATTAATGGGAAACCAAAAAGTGGAACGCGCGTTGCATCAGCGATTGTGCACGGAAAAGTACTTAATTAGCTAAATGTTCCGTAAATTCCGTATCACTGAATTTCAAACACACATTGTGAATTTACAAGACAATTACAAATATACTATACTATTACATATATCACTATACTATTACATAAAGATGTTGAAAACAAATAAAAATGAAGGAAAAAAACCGTTTAAATTAAAACTTTGAGTGGCCTGTTACGTATTTCTAAAGAATGTTAAATGACGCAATCATATCAAGAGTCTATAGATATCGAATTGTACGTGAAGAAATATATATCTGTTAGAATATAGTCTGGCTTTCGAACAGTTTCTCGATAACGATTATAATAATTGGGCTCGATCACTCATTTGGAATAGACATTAATTTAATCGCAGGAGTTTGAATATCAATTTATCGTATGTATATGTATCGTCAACAAAGCTACATTGTGTGTGTGTAATAACGCATTATCAACAATCATTTACATGTATATAAAACAGCGGGGCCATGAAAGTTGAACCAGTCGTCTTTCGAGCCCGATTAACTGGTTCAGGTAGCTTGCCTCTCGCATGCCATCGTTACGGATTTTTTTTTATTTCCATATCCGTTTCACGTACAGTTTCTCCAATTTAACTTTCAAAGTGGTCCGAAAAAATTCTATATTTAAAACGGTAGTTTGGGCATGCATGTACCTGTCGCAATCTCCGGCTACTGCATATAATTATTCACAGGTTGCGACTTTCTTATGCAATTATTTCTTGGAGCAATTAAAAATTCAATAAGATATATAAAATGAAAAGTTTTTATAAAATAATCTTTCATTCTTTGTTTTCGTAGTTTTATAAAATAATCTTTCATTCTTTTGGTTTAATATAAAACTTCGATACGAAAGTCTTGTTAGTTGTTTAGCAATTGATACAGTCTGAAAATGCACATTGATGTGGACGTGCGTGTTCGTTGACTGCAACATGATCCAGCCTACCATGACGTGTGACTGTGAATGAATCAGGTAGAGACTGCGAAAAGCGACGAGAACGTTCTTTCCGAGCTGCAAGCCGGTAGCGAATGAGGCTCCATTGAAATCAATTGGAAGGTGCAAAACGTCAACCGAGATAATTTAGCCAGTTGACCCGCCGTAATGATTCTAATCCAGAGTGCAACACGCACACTCGTCGTCGCCCCCTCGATGGCAAGAGCATTTCACTGCATCTTCCTTCGAACTCGGCAGCGGAAAACTTTCAAGTTGATGTGACATCGCAACACGGCGCCGTCGTTTCCTAACATTCCTATCGGCTGTCTATCTTTCATTTATCACACTCTGCAGCGCATCAACGATTAAAGAATCTGACGTAAGCATAACGCTGAAGACGATAGTCTCGCGCCACGAGATTAATGGAGCTGCAAGGATCTCGCGAATAAACCGGCAACATTATTGATAGTCATTATTGAATATCACGTAATTTCCTGGTTACTGTATAGATTTTTACAGAATATTAACTGGTTTTAACGAGTTTAGCGAATAGTTTAACAATATTTTCTATTAAACATTAACATAAATCTCTTTTCAAATAAAAATTTAACTAATATATATTCTTTTTATATTTCTTATCAAAAGAAAGGAAGTCATCTTATCAAAAGGAAGGAAAGAAATTATTAATTTCTTAACATTAATATCGAAATTAAACATAAAGAATTTTTATGTTTATTTTCAATCATCAACATTCCAATGAGATTTCATGTTGTATACGTTCGAGATTAAGAGATAAAACAGAAGCAGGAAATGCAGCGTGATTTACCTGGTTATAGAAGCAACGTGTGTATTAGCAATTTAGCCGATGTTGTACAACTCTTGAAGATTAGGTTTGGCGTCAAGTGCACTCCGGTTATCTAATCGAGTGCGCTTCTTCAAAGAGTATATAGTTCATAAATACTCTGCCTGCCGTTTGAATAATGAAACTTCCGTAATTCATGATTTATGTTCATGATATTATCAGCAAGGGCAGCGAATAAATCCCGGTGATCAAGATAAAAGTGAAAGTGTCAAACGCAGAAACATTTGCACTCCTAGATGGATTTCGAATATATCTGTCATATACGAGATTTATAAATATAAATTAATTACCGTATTTTTAATTTTCAACGACTAACGTAAAAAAATGCAGAAACAATTTTTTTCATTAAAAAAGCTAATAACTTAAGAAAATGTTAAGATAATTTCAACAAATTTTAGCCACTGCAGGATTGGTGAGATTTTAAAATAGAACGTATTTCAAATGAGATACGCGTTATAAAAATAACGCGACAACTGAGACGACAAAGTCTTCATTCCTGGAACGCGACAGATAGATAAAAGACGAAGCGTAAATGACATTGGGTGGCGCGATAACGTTTTGTCAAATAGACGAAATGCAATGAACGTCACGCGACTTGACGCAGAATGATTTTTACTGCAATCTTCACTAACCCGTAATTGACGCCTTAATAACATATCATTATAACGAAAACTGGAAAAGAAACGCGCGGCGCAATTCGATACTATCTAGCATTCAGCGAAGACGATCGAAATCTCGTCGCTAACGTTAATTACGTGATGTTACTTATTTCGAAATTCATACATCGAATAAACACGATGATAAAGTGGCGACTGAGTTTTATTTTTGATCGAGAATCAGAGACCTTGTGTATCTCACGATGATTATGCTATCATATGAAAATTTTAACATTCGTCAAATAATTCTGCGTATATTCGCTATTTTGTGCAAAAATATGTAGACTTCTTTATAAATATGCGCGAATCATTAGAATTGTATTAGCTGAGGGTATACGATTTTGTTTATGCATAACAAAATGCGAATTTATTAAGAAATGTCCATATCATCATAACTTGAGCGATTGAAATTTTTACAATTTTAATTGGAAAAAAAAACAATTAATATTGGAAATTCTAATTTAAAAAATTTATATTTAAATTAAATAAAGTGATGCATAATTATACATAATGTAATATAAAGATACACAATATAATATAATAAATCGCTATAATCCGATGCAATTCAATATTTTAAGTGACACGTCGATAAAAGAAATAAGAATTAAAAATTTTTAATATCATTAAACTCCTCTTACAAAATATCCAAATTTGAATACCGTTTTATCTCGAAAAATTCAAGACTGTGGAAAATTCTAGATTTATGGAAATTTTTATAATTGCTTTCAAATTTGTTTATCATAAATACACGCTATTCTAATCCGAATGATATCGACAATAAAATATTTAACGCCTACAAAACCGATAAGCAAACCTTTAGTTTGCACAATCTAGAGACGTGTGATCCTCGATGTGGGTTCATCGATTATCGTTACGATAATACATGATTCCGATTGCGTAAGGAACGCGAAAGACGGAAACTGAATATGTAATCGGAAAATTCGCGCGGCTGAATTACGTGGCGACACGTTTTAACGAACGTCACGTGTTACAACTGCAGGTGTAACTACCGGCGGCACAGCACACGCAACACAATATTTCAAGGACCCACGTGGCTCTCGCTGGATAAGTAAACAGAAGCGAGACCGCGTGATGAGCCGATTATAATCTAAAAACGCGATGACATCTTGATTTGTTCGATGTTCAAAATAAAATCGGAACAACATTCATTCCGATAAATCTCTGGAGAACAATTCGCGTCTCATTGGGATATCACCACATGGCCTTGAAACTGTCACAAAAAGATATCATTTCTAATGATTTCTAATACGGCGGTGACCGCGATTTCATTTTTATGATAGCTATTACTTTGCATATTTTTGCTAATTATGGAGAAATGGGTTTTCTTCGTATCTTAAATTTTAAAGTAACACGTGACCGATTCAAATCAAAACGTAGAATGTAGACTTCGCTTTTTTAATTAAAATTTTATTATTAAAATAACAAATGGCAAAAATAAATACGCTAAAACAATATTTTACATTAGAATTTGCCTTTAAAGATATATCTAATAATTAGGATTATTAATCATAAGAATTTAAATTTACTTTGACATATATATATTATATTTTATATAAATGAATTTCACAGAAAAGGAAGCACGAATAATCGAAAAGATTCGTTCGAAAAAAAAACTGTAGCCTCAGCGATGTCATTGTAGTCATGCCACTTTAGTCTTCGCTATGCTGTGTAACAATGAATTATCACATCTTACGGAGATGTTTACCTTACAAGAAGGTACCATCAAAACAAGTCTTTCGCAATTCAATATTTCACTCAATGGTCTAGTAAAAGAGTCCTTTTAAAGAATACCCCGCTACAATAAACACTCTCATGACAAGCCCTCGACTTGCGAATATCGACAGGTGGATGGTCCAGGAAATGCTCCAGTTTCCGGTGAGGCAGGAAGGGCGCGTTTTAATGGCAGTGCTACTGACCCAATTTCACGAGATACGGTACCTGATTTCGCGTACACGTGCTGTATCCCTTCCGTTGATCCCCAGACGGATCGATGCGAGAGGCTGACGACGCTGGCTGCTGTCTGGCTTCGTGAGCCTGGCTCTCCCGCTAATACACGCGTGAACGGAAACAGCGACAAGTGTACTCGCGCGACGGGGCCGAGAGCGGCGACTGGTCGTGCCTCCGACGAGCTTCCAGCGTGACCCACGATCGTCTGGCCTGCGGCATCCACCACTACTAGCCGCGTGTGCGTCACGCATACGTCTGCATCCTGGTAGCGCGTAAACGCGTGAACGAACGAGGGGTCACACGGGCACATACGCGAGCCTACCTCTGCTCCCGTACCGTCGTGAATTTCCGTTAACGCCTACGAAAACACAGATATCCGCGCTCACGATCGCGAATCGCGAATTGATGTTATGCTGTCGAACTGCACGCGGCGTGTTTGTTGATAAATTCGAAATCAGGTTTGAAGTCTTGGCAAATATTTGATCGAACATTACTTTTCTTTCTTCTGTAACTTCCTGGGCCTTTCTCACTTGATATCTCTGACGTTGCCAATCAAATCAAAACTCTCAAATCCAAATGTTAGAATAAGATTGATATATTTGAAATTATATAGTGAGATTTCTTGAGATTTTATATATATATATATATATATATTTATTTATTAACATTTATATGTTTATTTCTCCTATCACACAGTTTATGACTGTATTACTTTAGATAATGAATAATTGATTTCAAATTCATTGAAGAAATTTAATGATTTGAAATACGCGCTTGTGATTGTCAGTAACTTAAAATATTAATCTTCTTAGGAAACAATATAGGAGATTAATTAAATTTCAAGAACTACTTATTATTAATTAATTAATTTTTTCGTACATGGTATTCATTTTTGGTTTATAAGCAATCAAAAAAATTTGAACTTACGATTTAATATTACTATTATCAGGATGTTATATCAGTTATTGTAACAATTATTTATTGACTATTCCTTAGAAACTTACACAATCTACTTTTTTTGTTACAGTAGATAAAATAGTAAATAAAATATTATAATTATATATTTCAGATAGCAACTTCTTATGTCTTTGTGTACACAAAATTTAAAACATTACAAATCTTTATATAATTTTAATAGAAATTTTAATTTAAAATGTATAAAATGTATTCTTTAACATTTTTATTAACACTATTTAATTGCAAAAGTTTAACGGAAACTTATTTTTATGCATTTTCAAGCAATTATCCAGTTTAATAATATTAATTGTCAAATTGTTTACTTCAGTTTTAAATAATGCAATTTACCAATAATAATTTTACATACTCATAAACACTGCAATTATTAATAATAAGAATAATGATAGCATTTAACACTTTACTTTCCTCAAATTATGCATTATTATCTATGAAATATTTAGTCCCCATTTCGACCGTACCGTCGCGCGTCGTGTAGAAAATTAGGAATTGCAACAAAATCTATTTTTGAAATTATCGTTACGTTTAATTCAGATTGGAAATATAATCATATCATATTTTTAATAATTTGTTTTGCAAATTTAAGATGTTCGCAGCAATAAGTTCGTCCACACCAAAAAGAAATATATATTTCGACTTTGACTTAACATGCCTTTTTTTAGATAGGAAATGAAAATTTAAACTATTTAGAAATTTAAAAATTAAAAAATCTTGAAAATACTTAATTCGCACTCTTAGATCTTGGCCGCACATTAATAGGATATTATTAGATACTTTTATGATCGTACATAGCTTACGCATCTCGCCGCTTGCGTGACACAGTCACGTTAATCCATTCATTCTCACAATCAGTTCATAAACTCACGCATCTACACGGACATGTGCAGACACAATGCGATATCGTACGAGACATGATCAATCTTAATTATTATTTATTAGCAAAATTTAAACAAACTAAATTTGTTAATTTAATTATAAATGAAATTTCAATAAATAAATAAATAATAAATTAATAAAATAGTCATTTTTAATATAAATAAATAAATAAATAAATATATTTAAAATATTTTAAATCGATTGATTAGCCCTTTGCCTAGGTCTGTTCATATAATTTTTTTAAAATTTTTTTTATATATTTTTCTTATAAACGTTTGAAATAAAAGTAATAAAAATATGTAATTCGAATGCATAAAAAATGCATATGTAATTATACTTTTACATATAGCATATGTATATACAGAGAAGTAATGAAATAACATCCCAGCATTGCTACTATATAAACTGAATAAAGTTTGATTAAAACGGCTGATGTGTGTGTTTAAATTTAGATCATTGCAATTGCCCAATCCCCCTTTTCCCTGTAGTGAAGATTAATCTTAGATCTCTGAATACGTTCTATTGGATCGAATCGCAGTTCGAAACATTTGATAAAATATAAAATATAATTAAACAATATAACATGAAATATTTATAAATGGTTTTATTCTTCGTTTTAATATAAGTGAAATAAAATATTTATCAAGTTTATATTAACATATTAATAATATAATTGTTAAACATATTAATATCACAAATTTTTTATTAAAAAATTGTAAAAAAACGATAATTCTATAACTCTATGATTTAAATTTAATAAAGAGATTTTGTGAATTGTGTGCCAAAAATAGATATATGATTAATAG